CCCCAAAACCCCAAAACCCCATGGATCATTCTAATCAGATAAGTTAATAAGCTAAATTATCAAGTGATTTATTTATAATATAGTATCGAATGTTTAAAATTCTTTCATCTTCCACTATTTGCCTTCTTTCTTTCTTTTTTTATTTTCTTCAATCGTTTTTCTTGCTCCTTTTCTATCAAATCTATCTTTTCTTAGAGATTACTGAAATCCTCACTATCTTCAATCTTATAATCATTATACTTTTCTCTGTGTTCCTTCTTAAGCAATGGGCAGTATAACATAATCAAATCGCAAACAGTAGCTACTATATTTAACAAGGCCAACCCTGATGAAATCTGGAGTATTATGGATGCTATAGAAATAAAATTTCCTTCGCCCTATACCTAAACAATTAATCTTAATCCAGTCATCTGATAGAATTCTCTGTATTAAGTTCCATCATCAGAATCAGTAAATAAAATTGAGCTCTCAATAGTAATAGGATTATCGTTATCTTCACTAAGTTTTTAAAATTCAATCAAAGGTTCACATTGATAGTAGCGAAGATCACAATAATAATCGAATACCATTTTTATTATAGCTCCTTTCTCAACCAACTGATTGACTTCAATGTTGTTACTCTCTATAAGTGTTCCCATACTAATTGCGTTTGACTTTTATTTTGGGTAAAATACCGGATGTCTAAATCAATGAAATTTTATTCATAAAATTACCTCATTCCATCTTCTTGGACTTGAACTGGATTAGTGTGGTATATTATGTCCTCTGTTTCAGCATCTGAACCAAACTAAATTACATTTAGGTATTCAAAATGTAAATCTAGTAGATTTTGCATCACATAAATTTAAGTATGAACTGGATCTCCATTATATGGGCACCATTGATAATCCTTACAAAAGCCATTACTCATACAAACTTATTCATTCATAGGATGACTATGGGAATCAAATTTGCAATCAGCATCCTTTGTGCAATTTCTTATTTTGCAATACATTTAAGTCTATCCAGAAGTAATAGCTATTTTTGTGGCTATAAATATTGCAGAAGTCTCTTCAATTGTCTGTGCATAATCACCTTAATCAAAAGCTCGAGTCTCATTTGTAGAGTTATCTTAACCTACTAATAATCCAATAGGCTTTATTGATGAACCTCCGAGAGTCTTTTCACATGAGTAATACATTCTTCGATACAAAAGCACATAAAATACTACGTAGCACATAACTAATATACAGAGTCCATAATATATTAATCCTATCTTTCTATCAATTACTCTAACAATCTTAGGCGTCTGATAAGTCACTGAATCTGCAAAGTTTTGACTCATTTTCTAATTAGTAGTTTTAATACATTAATTAATTCAAATTCTCAAAATTATACCTATTATGAGCCAAACGGGGTTTTGGGGTTTTGGGGTTTTGGGG